TTTTTTCTCATTGCTCTTATTAATGAAAATCTCATCTTGAAGCTCACCACGAAGCTCCTGATTCGTATCTAAAAGCTCTGAATATGCCGGATCAAACATGGTATTTCATCCTAATTTATAGTACCATCATATATAATAATCCTATCTTGAGAATGAGCCAACCCCAAATTATAATAGATCCCGATGAAGAGCTCCGTATAGTTTGTAGACTTTTGTTTTATAATATACCCTGTTTCTATCCCAATGCAAAAAAATTATATAGAGTTTGTCAGGAGGAAGGATATTCTTTTCGATTGCAGAATATCACAAAATGGATAAAACACCAATATAGTTACCAAATATATCGACAGCCATTACCATGTAAAGCTGAGGCAAGTTTTTCAAAGATTAAGATTCTGAACAAAGTCCATTAATGCGATATATTGCTCCACACTCATGATCAAGATGATGGATGGTTATTTGTTTGTACTCTTCTAGTTATCGATGTTGCAACGCGTTTTAAGGATGGATGCTCACTAACATCAAGAAATAGCTTAGAAATCTGGATTGCGATTAAAGATATCTATGAGGACCCTTCTAACCCCCTTACATGGCCAAAATTATTAATGACTGATGGTGATGCTTCGTTTCGAGGTGCATTTTCACGAGGAATTGAACAATATAATGTCCCAATACGTGTTGTTGACCTTTATAGTTTTGAGAGCTTAGCTTTTATTAAAGCGCTTAAGAAAAGAATAGCAATATTAACATATAAGGTCCAATATGCTATAGAGGGACGATTAACTGATGGAGAGCGATCAAGTGTATTTAAGAAAATCCTTAAGAAGTATATTGATTATCTGAATAACAGTAAGACTCGCCTTATTGGAATGTCACCAGCTCGTGCTATGACTTTGGAAGAAGTTGAGTCAAAGCCTTCTAAAAAACCTAAGCGTGCAATCGGAAAAGATGAGGAGATAAAATTACAAAAAGGTACAGCGGTCATTAGATATCTGTTAAAAGCAGGCGAGTTGGAAGGAGACCATAGACGTAGAGCAACCGATCCATATTGGAGCTTGCGTGTCTTTAAGATAAAAAGGGTTGTTATTGGAAAAAATCCACCACAGCCAGTCTTATATTATCTTGAGGATGAACCCATTGAATCAACTGCTCATCTGATAGGACGAAATCCCAAAAGGCCCTTTAAATATGAGGAACTTCAAGAAATTGAAGAGCCTGATAAAATCGAGTATCCGCCAGATGAATTTATGCGGAAATACCACCCTACTGGATTTGTCCATTATGTTCATGCTTCTAGTAAGTCAGTTCAGGCTGAGGAATATGCCAGAAGACGTGGTGGTCAATGTCTAGGAAGGACTGGGCGAATAAATGATCATGATATGTATCTTTGGTCTTGTGAGAATGGTGCACATCAATGGGAGTATCCGTTAAAATATATCATGAAAAAATTCGAATGGTGCCCGCTATGCCATCATACTACCGAAAGAACTGTACGATATATTTTTGAGGATCTACTAGGCAAGAAATTCCCATCACGTAGGCCGAATTTTTTGCATGGAATGCAACTTGATGGATATAACGAAGAGTTGCGACTAGGATTCGAATTTCATGGCAGGCAACACTATAGCCTTAATTCAATGTTTCATAGAAGAGGCCAGATAGATTTGGATGAACAGAGAATACGCGATCAGAAGAAGCGGGATACTTGCAAAGAGCAAGGTATATGTCTTATCGAAGTGCCTTATACTGCGGATCTTTTTCCATACATTAAGCATACACTAATCGAGAAAGGATTCTTGAGTAATTCTCCAAGTTAAGTCGGAGAGAATTATTTTCTTGGCATTTTTCCGAGACCACGCGGTCCCGCAAATTTGCAAGATTATTTTAGAATATCATTAGTAATAGTTCGACATGAAAATAAAGAAACTTGAGCCAGTTGAAAGGCTTGTATACCATATTAACGAAATTAAAGATGCCCAAAAATACAATGCCAATTCCAGTGTTCCCCAATGGCCTTTCACTTTACTAATCTGTGGCCGTACCAATTCAGGAAAAACTAATGAGGTTCTCAATCTCATGCTTAGAAATAAGCTTTATCGAATGTTTAATGGGAAGAAAGGAGGGACGCGCTATATCAAGTGTGATGATTTGCTTCTCATCGGCCATAATCTTAAGGAGCCGAAATATATGTACCTCAAATCGGCATTCCAGATAATTGCAAATAGTCCAAAGCCATATCGTGAAAATATTACATTCCGAGTATTGAAGCCTGATAAAATCCCTAAGGTGGATTCGTTTTCTCCAGATAGAGGTACAGTGCCTATATTCGAAGATGTATGTGCTGATCCAAAGAAAGTGCAAGAGAAAATTATTCCTTATTTCATTGAAGGACGCCATTACAATGTCAGTTCGATATATGTATCCCAGAGTTACTTCGACTGTCCGAAGATAATACGAAAAAATCTCACACACGTCTGTCTATTCAATGGATCGTGTACTGCGGACGAGCTTAGCAGAATCGTGCGTCAATATGCTAATGACTGGCGTAGTGTGATTAAGATTATTGACAAGGCTTTATGTGAACATAAATTCATTGTTTTCGATCTAACTGTACCTCGAGAGCATCCACATAGGATACGTCTTGGTTGGGATCAAATTCTCACTAATGAGTAGAATTTTCTTAGGTACTAAGGACGAAATGTATATTTTTTCCTGGTTTCTAGATCATATTCAGATTCATCACGCCTCTTCGCCCATAATTTCCTTTCATGAGTACTAGAATATATTTCCGGTTCTATAGTCACATCACTATGCTTCATATTGGAAAGGATCTGATCAACAAGAGCGACAATTTTTCTATCTTTAACAGAAATAATATCCTCCAGATTCCGGCATCTATTCTCTAACAGGTCAATGGACTTTTCAGCTGATGCAATAGCTTTTTTCGTATCAGGTATTATACTTTTGAAGAAAGCTACCGAATCTGATAATTGGCTGACTTTCTCACCACTCTCTTCCAAAGACCTGGTCATGGCTACCTCACGAGACTTATATTGCTCTTGCAAGTCAAGAAGCTCTTCAATCTTTTTTTCCAATACCTGCTTTGATATACATAATTCCTCATTTTCTTGCCTTAACGAAGTTTCACAGTCACTAGTAATGGGCTTCATCTTCTGACGCTCTTTTTGCTTAATATAATTTCCAACCGCCTTATTTAACAAATCTTCCACTTCGGGATGGATACTACTTTCCTGTTTTATCGATAATGGATGTTTTCGTGAAGTAAGACGTCGCCATATATCTATTTTGATAGAACGAGGGAGCTGGTTAAGTTGCTTTGAGTAATATACGTGAAAAGTTGGTGTTAGTATACCGGTCATTGTTACCATAGGTAACTAATAAAAAATTTTGAGAATTTTATAGATTCAGAAATTTTATAAGAAAAATTCTGAGAATCTAAGAATTCTGAGCATTCTGTCACCCACATAGACGAAGTCTACCAGGATATAGTCATACGCGTCAATATCGCGAAAGATCTGCTAGAAAACTCCGATCAAAAATGCACATGACACCCGACCATTGGTCAGCAAGAAAAAATCATTTTGGCAGGGGTACCCCAGCGCTGAAGAAATTTCACCATTAATACATGATCATGTTTTTCGTGATACAGATAACAAGTTTTTTATTAATTCGTTTTGCGATAGCTTGTCTTCCAATTTCGCAACTCTGGCCTTAAGCTCAATATTTTCGGCCATAATTTTATTGTTCTCAGCCTTAAGCTCGCTAATACATTGTTTCAACGAATTACTCTCACTAGGACTATCTATTTCAGATTGCATGCTTGCGTAATGTAGTATTAGTATGTTAATATTCAAAAATAAAAAAAAAACATGAATGTATATTTATGAAATAGACCGCCAGGGTCGGGTTTATTAATATAAAATTAAAGTACAGGATAAAGAAATCTTAATTATATGGAGGTGAAGATATTGTCGAACTACTCTCATCACTTTCATGAGTTCTGGAATTAAATAGCAAAGATAAATCTACGATCAAGATTCTCTGCATATTAAAAAAGGTTAGTGAATAAATATCACGAAATAAATGTATTTGTATAATGTACATGAATACATACTCGTAGTAACAATAAAGCTTCTATAAACTCAAATATAGTTTTCCTGTTATCCATATATTGTGTTGGAATACTAACTGATCTTAAAAGAAAAAGACGGCTAATATTTTCTTTATCACGAATAAGAACATATAAATCGAATTTTTGTCCCGCAACCTGGAATCCAAGAATGCCGAACTCATTTTTTTCTTCCAATTTACATCCTCTATTTGTCCAATATAAGGCATCGTTAAGTTCCCGCCACAATTTCACTTTATCATCATCTTCTTTCACATTACTACAAATAATACGTGAACATTCAGCAAAAACTAACTCATAGATCCTATCCATATGCTTCGCTATGAACATAATGTCTGGGCGCTTTCCTTTCCCTCCTCTTCTGTCTTTGCTAGCCACGCTTTGACGTTCCGCCCTGCAGTGTTAGAAAATTAAAATCATGTGACTGCGTGAAAAAAAAAACACCAAGAAAAAAATGAGATAGTTAACTCACGTGCTAATATATGCGGATTTTCCGATTGGCAAATCTTTTAATGTAGCTCGAATAACAGGAACAATAATGTCTGCCACGTATGTTCCCTCACTCTGTGTTTTAGCGAATTTAGGACTAAAGGCTGGGTTTTTCCAGATCTCCCCCCTAATAGTATTGGAACATCAATATGGTATAATCTTATGAATGGAATAATATTATACTTACAATGTATTAAGTATTCTAATCGCAATATCTTTTAAAACCTCTTCTTTCTCTATCCAATTTTCATGCGAAAGTTTTTGTGGTGGTATTTCCGTAGAACCATCGTCATAGTTTATCAAAAATTCGTCACATGTTGTTTTGATCGAGTTAGGAAGAGACGCTTGCATATATTTCACCGGTTCCTAGTAATATCATTTCAAACATTATTTTTTGTTCCATGAATTGGGATATTTTTTTTTCTTACCATGAAAGATTCGTATTCTTCTTCCGGTAATTGCTTAACCATCTCCATCTCACTACTAAGAACCTGACTCGCAAGTGGATCACGCCATGAAAGATCTGAGGATTTAACCTTACCTACACTCTTCCGCAAAATTTTGGCATATCGAGATTTGCTTCTTTTAAGATTCCCTTTCAATATTCGCAAATTATTTTTGATAGTCTCGTCCGGTAATTCTTCTTCCTGTCTATCCAAATCGTGTGCGCACACGTCAGATTTTATCATGCAAAATTATCAACCATGTGTGGCCAGTACATAGATGATAAATTACATGACACATGCTTTCATCTCAAACTATACGCAAAGAAATACCCCCATACGTCTGTGGATTAATACATTTAATGATCAAACCAGGGCTTGTATGGCTTTGGATACAACTTCACTCCAGTTATTAGGCTATATTCTGCGCTATTCATCATATAGTGTTAAGTTTTTTTACCGAAAAAATTTAATTACTAACCTTTAAGGGTAAGCTCATAAGCTTCTGATATTTTTCTGAATTTGATGCATATGAAGGGATAACGGATGTAATTGCTTGATGAAATATTTGCCTTAAATTTTCCTTTACAATCCAAGGCTCTTCGTTCATTGCCTGATAAATTACTGAAAATGCGGTTATATGTTCAGGCAATGCAATACGAAGAAAATTGCAAATAAAATCGTATAATGCAGTCATGTTTGTGTTGTTAATTCAGAATAATATTAGTATAATGTTAATGTAAGGTTAATATGCTGAGATAACGCAGGAAACAAAATTTGTATACTACCCTTTTAAATGTTTTGTAATTTCCTCATTCACATCTCTCTGAGCCCGAGTTCACGTTGGGGTCGAAACAGAAGAATATGCAACGACTTTTACGCCAAAATTTTGTGTTAGAGAATAAGGGCATGCGGAATGTGCATTGAAGATCTAGACATTTTCAAAAGCGTTGGGGGTAATGTATATACGAACTTTTTTCTTTATTTCACTTGCCCGACCGCTCAGTAATAAAGGCCTAGCAACATTATATAAATATTATGCTCTGGTAGGAGGGTAGTAGAAATATCTTATAGCTCCGGAACATATACACATATCAATAAATGCTATTCTGCGAGGAAAAAATTCGAAATATTTTTGGGGGATATGTGTGAAAATTAATTTGTCGCACAAGCAGTCACACAGAGTTACAGATGATTTGCGGTGTATCACTCATTACATCATATATACTTTAACGAGGATCGAAAACGTGCTAATTTATGTCACACATGGCTACATGCATTGTGGCTGGACAATCTGAAAAATTCAGGCGACACATTTTATTTCATTGCAAGAATTATAATCCGACACGCTCACAGATTGATTTTATACTCCATGAATTATCCTTATATTTCTCACATTCTGTAACTCTAATGAGATATTCAATGTTATCTTTATCAATACGATAATATTCAGGATTCTGTAGCCACTTTAACTGGTTAGTCCAATCTGAACCTCTAATGATTATATAGCCTCGCTGGTATAATATTTTAAAAACAATATCATGTGTTACCTTAGCTAATCTCACAGATAATTGCCATTTCTTCTCAATTATCCACTCATCATCTCTTGTAGGCCATGAAGGGGCGGGATAAGTATCACGAGGAGTTATACCTAAGAGTTTCTTTCTATCAGGAGTACCATCATTCCTCACCGCCTCCCAAATTCGTTTTGCCAAAGATTCGGGTCTCTTCTTGTAATTCCTGTAAGCTCGCTGGATAACTGTTGCATAGAAATTTTCAAAGCCATAATTATAGTATTTAGGAATCAAGAATCCCCAAGATTGCTTCATTGATCTTCCTGAAATACTTTATTAAAATAGTTATACAATATTGGAGGATCTAACCCAGAATAGGCAGATCATGCATAGTGCCTTTGGCCAATTTTTCTTCATGTATAAAAAGCATTTCACTAGACGATCATCCATGCAGTTTACATACTGAATTTTAGTTGTACATTTCACGGGATAGCATAAAAAAATCATTGTATTGCTTGACTAATTATGTTGTATACTACACTATTTCAATAAAGAATTTAAGACTTGAAAAACTCGTTGCACATATTCACAATTATTGTTAAAATCTGAGAAATCTATGATAGTAGACCCTCCCTGGGGAATATGAAGACAATAATTAGATTTGAAAATATTAATTTCTAGCGAATCACATGGATAAGGCTTTCTTTTCTCTTTACAATAATATCGCGCATATTCTGAAATTTTAACAAAGTTTACGACAATGTTGTTTCCATCTTTGCTAGTACGGTAATATTCAGGATCAGTTAGATATTTTAACATAAAAGTCCAGTGTCCACAACTGACGAGTCTATATCCTTGCTGATACGATTTTATAAAAGCAACTATATATGCTACAGCATTTAGGCGCTTATTTAACTGGTATTTCTTCGTTTCTACCCAATAATCAGGATCATAATATTTATATTTCTCGTACCCTGTGGCCCATTCGGCTAGAAATTCTTTAATATATTTTTGAGCAAGATTTTCGCTATATGCTCTTTTATAATTGTTAACATTTTCATCGATAAATAAAGCATATTCTTCTCGAGTCTGAGAATTTATTTTCCTTTCTCTAGTTGAAAGTATACCTAAGAATTTCTTCCTATCAGGAGTGCCATCATTCCTCACCATATTCCAAACTCGTTTCGCCCATGTTTCAGGTCTCAACTTGAAAGCTCTCCAAGCCCGTTGGATAACTTTTGCACTGTTAATTAATCGATATACAGTACTTTTCCTAATTTCTTTTGAATCACGAGAGCAAAAACATTCAGAGCTTTTTCTGTATCTAAAATAAATACTATCATAAATTTCATTAATTTCATCATCACTTAATTCTGATACTATTTTTTTCACATTTTTCTGTACAGGTTTAGAATATGTAATATGCCTTTTAGCAGTTTTAGTAATACATTTATTCAGGTGATCATTAGCACATTCGATGGTATTTTCACGAATAATTACCAAGGAGTCGCATACAGTGCAATAAATATGAAATGAGCGTTCTCCATCTTTAAATTTCCCATCTATATATACTCTTTCAATCATCTGAATAAATCCATTCTTCGAAAAGTATTTTGGGTTATATTCAAGAAGTTTCTTAAAAGGATAACGAATACGAGAACACCACATTTCTGGTGTTTCACCACTATACCTATATTGCAGATTGTTTAGCACCTGCACCACTATAGGGTTTAAACCAGAATAGTAATTAGTTCTATCCATTTTGCGGATATAGTAAATTTATAGCTATTTATCGATTTATAGAGTTTTACACACGATTTAGTGATTTATAGCTGATTTGGCAATAGTATACTCTAATAAATATCAGATTCATTTTTATTCGAATATTCGATTACAAGCAAATTGGGATTTGTAGCCAATTTAAGAGACTACATATTGATAAACTCAAATTCATTTTTTATGGGGTTATATAGAGTCATATCTCGGCTAATATTTACATGCACCTTCGGCTAAATCACGAGGTGATTGGCCAATCAGATTCATTTTTATTCGAGACCGGCTGATATGCAAATTATTTTGCGAGGATCCCTCATGATTTCTATTTATTCGATAAGCAGTCATACAGCATTTACAGATACATAGCTATACACGGGCAGATACACATGAATTAAAAAGGAGAAAGGCTCGATATGGAGTTAATTTTATTAATTTTATGGATAACTAAAAAATGAAAAATCTGGACACACATGCCCGGGCGCAGTAATGTGGCGCAGTAAATGCAAAAATTGAGTTAAATTATTCCATAAATAAAGTCAAAACTTATAAATTTCACAGAGTAAAAACTTTTATTCTTCAAACAAAAGCAAGATTATTTATTAAATTTCCTCCAACATCGTAAAAGCTGTATAATACAAGAAAAAAAATTTTCTAACTATTTATTTTTGTATAAAACATTATTCTTCTAATATCGGATTGATTTGTACTTTTAGAGCCCATTGCTCGACATTTTTAATGGCGGAATCTATTCTCAAGACTTTCCGATCTTCATTAGAATCTTTATCTCGAGTTGTGTAAATTTGGTGTTCAAATTTGTCGTATATATCATCTGGAACCACGAAGTAAAGTTGAATCTTAGCATTTTGATCACTAATATAGACCGGCATGCTTGTGATTACTTTTGTCAGCTCAACTTGTTTTATAGGATGATGTTCCGACACCGTGACTTGAAAAATACAATTAGGCGTTACAAATAAGTCTACCGCACCAAAATTTTGTTTATCTGGTACGATAACTATGTTTTCTCCAGAATACTTTAAGAGATCGGATAAATTTCTTACAAACCCAGCATTTGGCTTACGATGTATGGAAAATTGATCTTTTTCTTCACCTCTCAGCTTCCTTACTTCAAATTTCTGGTTTCCAGTACGAAATAGGTGGATTGCATAACACTCAAATAAAAATCCCCTTGCGCTAGCCTCATAAGGATTTCGCATAATTCGTATTTTGTGCAAACAATCAACCCATGCCTTTTCCTCTAATCTTTCTTGAATTCTATCAAATACATAAGCAGAAGCCCATTCATAATGGTAATCACAATGTGTTTCGTCTGGAATTCTGTGGACAATGCGATTGCTAATTTCAACATAGGTTCCTTCATTTTCGGTAAAACACTTTATAATTTTATCAAAGTCGTCAGTTTCTGAAATAGCAAGTTCAATGCGTTTGCAAGCTTCTTTCTCAACTATCTCCATTTCTTTAGCATCTGGTCTTCCTTCATGTCCAATATTATTTCCAATAACGTTTCGTATTGATACCTCAACATTCTGGAGGACGTATCTAGGCACTCCACCCGCTTTATGGAAAAGATTAGTCACTATTTCTTTCGGCACTAGTGGAAAAACATGCTTCCGACAAGATAACAATTCTTCTAACGTCCACGGACCCATGTAATATTCAACTGGATGACGCTTCTCAAATTCTTGAAAATCTTTTGTTGCAATCCCATTTGGTGATAGGGAGACTACAGTCGTTGCTTGTACTAATTTTGGAGATATGGCACCATCTGCCAGGTACCATGTCGTAGGTGAACCGAGTAGAGACAAGAAATCATCATATGTTCCACGGGTCACTGTTAGATTCTTGAAACAATAAAAGTATTTATCGTTGAGAGGCTGAAAGATTACAGTCACATCATCGCATAAGAGTTGGATTAAAACGTAAATCAGAAAACATGATTTTCCGATGCCCGATGTTCCAGTGATAAGGAATCTTTTTAAACCGTCAGCTGATTTCTTTTCCAATTTGTTATAAAGATACTTGTATGACTTTCTTACATAAAGTACGCTCTTCTCAAGTACAGCAAGGTCTTCGTCATGTTGAATAATAGTATTATCTTGTTGGTCTTGTATTGCACATAATTTTTGTTTCTGGTTCCTCACTAGATTACAAATGTTCTCGAACAACGGGTCTGATAAGTGGTGTGGGTATAAAGTAATAATTTGAAAGGTCATTTTAGTTACAGGATTCCGAGACTCACTTTACACGTTGTAAAAGCTTACCAAATTTTTGTTTCTTGTTGAATCCATTTGATTCTGTGGATTTACGTTTCCCTGCCGTACAAGAAAAAAGCACGTTAGTCAATGACAACGCAAATGGCTATCAAAAAGGTTAGCGCGTCACGTTCGAGTTGACCAATCATTACGACGCAAAGGCTTACCTTGACGTTCATCTAAATTCACAGGCACGTGATAAAGAACAAAAAATATTTAGTCGGGTATAAAAGTCACGTTTAGTTATTATGAGCTTACCAGTATTAGTGACCTCGACGTAAATAGGTTCGTCGTAGCTCGTTGTAAAATTTTCGCCTATCGTCATGTCTTCACGTAATTCCTTTTCAGTTACTCGTAATGTTATTTCGTCGATATCAAAGTTACCCAACTTATTATGTAGTTCGTTCTGAATTTTTTTCTTCAGTTTATTAACGTTTCCTCCCTGAAAATCTATTTCTGTTGGCCTTCCTTTATTATATTTTATCCAGATAGGTACTGTAGTCATTTTGAAAATATTCATTTAAGAAAGAAAATAGGAAACGATTATTTTTATCAGATCTTTAAGCTTTTATAAGCTTTTTATATCGGATCTTTAAGCTTTTATCATAGACTATAATATGACATAATTTGATTCATTATCATTACGCGTTACGCGTCTGATGATTTAATTGATTATCAATAAATATAATTTTTTTATGATTCCCTGATTTTATTATTCCGGTGCACATACATCGTGTAATACTTTATTATTAATAGTAAAGGGAGATAGAGAGGCTATCAAAGAGGGAGGGAGTTCTCAGATCCTAGGCCATGAATGAGAGTCCCAGCATCAAGTTATTTCTTTGCTCTCGGTATATTTCTAGCGAAGAAGTGCTAGCGAAGTGCCTAGATTTGTGTTATAATCGGTTGTACACTGGTAATTTTGTTTTATTACTTTACACCCACACCACCACCTGCATGTAGAATACACTGTTAAAACTAAGATAAAGCCCCGATGTGGGCGAACTTTATTTTAATTAATAAAATGCTAAATGCTAAACCAAATAAAACATCGCAGTAGTCATGTGACAGCGTGAAGAATCTTCACGGAATCACGTGATAGATAATTACGAGAAACGGTCTATAATACTTTGAATCTGGGTACTAGATAAGCTTGAAATAGCATCAGCACTAAATGATTTCACCCGCTTGATCTTGTTTGTTCCTATCCTAACAAACACCTTGTATATATTCCTTGCTTTCTGGGTTTTCTTACGCAAATTTGCTTCTGTAATTCCTGGAAGATGCTGTGTAACTTCACGGTATACCCGACTCCTAGCTGTTGGATCGGTAGCCGATGAATCTTGAGATCTAATTTCCCTAACCCTATTTTTGAACCCTTCAGCATATTTATACCAACATAAAATTTCATCTTGATTTGCCTTTGTAACGCGTAATCCAGCACGAGTTGCCTTTTGATATAATCGGGCTAAGCTTTGTGATACAGATCCATTAGCATCCTCCTCCTCATAATCAACATTTTCAGCTTTCTCTCTATAGTCTGTCTCTTATACACATCTAGATGTGTATAAGAGACAGGTCGTAGATAACTCTTGCAACAGGGCCTGGAATTTTTCTTGTTCACGAGTGATTCTTGGAGAGGTCCGTCTTCTTGATGAATTTCTTCTTGATTGAGATTCACTTTCTTGCACATTGGTGTCATCCCCGCTATTTGCATTAGATTGATTCTCCAAGTTATCCTGTGTAGTGGCGCGGATTTCATCATTAGAATTAGCTTGATTCTCCGAAGTTCTGGAGATATATAAAAGACGAGAGTGAGAACTTATATATGCGAGAATTTGGCCAGAGGTGTTGTGCATGGATTTTGCTCTGCTTACCTATTATCAACAGAATTAGACTGGTTATCATCATCATCCTCAATCATGATTGGACTTGTTGCCTGATCTTGCATAGTGGCTTGCTTCGACTGACTTCCTTGTCCAGCACGAGAGCCATCTTCTACCAATCCTAGCAAAGACATGAACTCCTCATCATCCTGTCCAGTGTCAGTTTGTTTTTTCTGAAGATGATATTTTCCAGAGGCGAGTACTGCTTCTTCTCTAGTCAGCTCAATGGTTATATTACACGAAGGGCATGTAAGAGTAAAAGGATCTGTTTCTCCTTGCATAATATAATTCTCAAGACATTGGCGGTGGAAAAGGTGTTCGCAACCCAACACAACGAACGATTGGAATCGGAATTTTAGGATTACTCTTTGGCAAATACTGCAAGGATTGAGTTTTGGAATTCTGCTGGGGATAGTTGAAATCTCTTGATTTCGAAGATAATTTAATGCAAGTACTTCGAGTTGGGAAGGCTCTGGAGTATTTGTTTGAATTTCCGAAGTGCTAGTCGAAGGTTCACTGGCTATAGTGGCGCTCAAAGGTTCACTAGCCATAGTGATGAATTGTAAAGAGAATGAAAAGCGAAGTATGAAGAAATTTCCATCTTGTTCACTCCTACTTATATTGCTTGGGTCACTATGTTTGAAAAGATCTAAGCCTAAGCCAAAGTAAGAAGGTAATATAAGTTTGGAATTACTTTAATCATAACGCACCTATCTTATTTTCCATACACTAAGGATCTGCCGTGATCGTTGCAAAACATAAATGTCCCTGGATCTTCGCTGGCAATCTTATTGTATCAATAATTAGCCGATCCTGAGTTACAAAATTACCCTGTATTAGAATGAATTAGCTGGGCAATCAAAAAATAGCATATATGCTTTAGCACCTTCGACTAAATTTATCGCCACTGGCTAAGAGATCAGATGCAGTATTTATTTTGCAATACATTCTATAAATATAAGGTTAGAGTACATGGCCAGGGTATATGATCACGTTTTTTGCGATACTTGGCCGAGCCAGAGGGATTCTCTGAATCAGGCGCTTACGCATGACGCATGTAATAAGTTTTTTATTACTACGTTCTCCAACTGCTTCTCTTCCAGTTTGGCAACTCTTTCTCTAGCTCAGCATTTCTTGTTTCAAGCTCAGCTTTCTCGAACTCGAGCCCAGTTATCTTAGCCATAAGTCTGGCATTTTCTTCTCTAAGTCAAACTCGGATTCCATAACACAAGTGAAAAAAATAATGCGATTCGCATGTCACACAGCCCCTATTCGGCAAGAGTTATTCCGATGTCACACTGCGCATTTCGGTGATCGATTTCACATGACCGGTCTAAGCCACAATCGCGAACTTGAGTTTATTGCTTGAAGTGTTGCAGGTAAGACAATATTCCAACTTATCTTGGGAATACAACTTCGCTAATTCAGGATCATAGGGGAGCTGATTCCCATTTTTGCGGTACCATGAGCCATGTAATCCATAATTCCCATGTTTTCCTTTGCAAATAGGACATGGTGAGCTCCACGGCTGAGGTGTTATAAAATTATAATTATCAATCCCTCTAAAACTATTTCTGAATTTCAAGTATGGGAAGTGCTCTAAGACGGATTTGATAATTAATTCTGGATTGGATCTGGCTTCGAAGGTGATAGGCTTGAAATCAGAGGCTTGAGGTAGTCCCAGCCGAAGGCGCTCAGGGCAAGGGACCGGTTCTGCTGACATATCTATCACAGCTTCCGATAATTGCCATGGCTCATTTCCAGTTTGTTTTTTATATCTTTTGTATAATTTGGAACGAATCTTATCCGTCAAAACGCTTGGTAACCCACTTAATTTGGCATGCCAGTCTATATATTCGGGGGTTAGTATTTTATCATACTCAGTCATTTTCCTTTTTATATGTTTGCAAACAATTTAAATCCCTTTTTCTCATATAGACCTATTCATTCGAAAAAAAGATTAAAATTCCCAGACTATTGTAAAGCAATGAGACTACGCAACTATCTCAATTTCATGCTGTTCACATTTAATAAAGTAAGATCTGGCTTTATACTCACCTTCTATTTCTTCATCATCATGACCTAATTTGCATAATGGACAGATGTAGTCCCCGCATGATGTCTCATCAGTAATCCCATAATAATCGAAATTTTCACAAGTACATTCTCTATATAGATTAGGATATTGATCCAATATCTTGTTGCGAAAATAGGAATGATCGGGCTTAGATTGGTATGCAGATGATACACTTGCGATCACTATCTCACCACCACAGAAATTTTCCTTCTTAAGATCCGTGAGATCATTATCATCTGCTTTAGCTGGAGTGATTTGAGGTGTAGATGGTGTATTTACTTCAGGTAAGATTTTTTCGGGACGGGCTGTCTCGGAAATTTCGGATACATGACCAGCTTCCGGAGACAACTTTTCCAAAGATATACTATAATCTATGATCTCTTGAAATTGTGCATCAGTAAGCTCTGAAATGGAATTCGCGCTATATGAATTAATATACTTGATCTTATCTAGACCCACTTTTTCAAATAATTTATAGTTTTTTTCAGCTCTCTGAGTTTTCTTACGCAAGCTATCCCGTGATACGTCCCTAAGTTTTAACCCTAATTCTTGCGATCTTTTCTTGTGGAGGATAGAAAGTTGTTCTGTGATGGTGTCATAAAGCACACTTCTCGCCTTCTTTTCACCAAATTTACTACCATTGCTTCTGATAATCTCATCAAGCTGATCTCTGAAATCTTTCTATACCATAGACGTAGTCGTAGTCGGGATCGAATGCCTCATCAATCTTTCGCTTTTTCTTGTTCATATTTATATTCATCTGGAGAGAAATAGCGAAGTTAGCAATAACCCATCAACCTGTAGCAGAATTTGCTATACTTACCTCACAAGCACTTCGACATTGTAGTAAGTTTTGGCAGATACCCATAGTCGCCTGATTTTGTTTACCCTCGGTTATGCAAATTATTTCCTCCAATATTTCACTGATAATTTTTTTGATTGCATAGTCGACACGGCCTGTGTTTTCTTCACCAATTACATTCGCCTGAGGTGTGATTACCAAACCATCAAGAAGACTTACAGCTGTATGTAAGATAGTAAAAATATACTCGCAACGCATAGCCTCGTTACTATCTACAACAGGTCCCATGTTTTTTATCCTGCGAAGAATATCATCAATACATAGCTTAAATTCGGGGGCACTTTCACTGATTGGGTGGGTGGCTGTAACACTGATATGTTAGTTCGGCTGAAAGGCGCTTTGTTAAATATTTTTAATAAAGAACATTCGACAGGAGATTACTTATGTGGTGTGAACTGTGGAATGCGAGTTATATCTCCACTGACGATCTCATACTTGCTTAACACCTCACTCAGGTCTTTCTTAGTCTTGTACGAGGAGAACGCTTTTAATTTTTTCTCCTTACAGTCCTTAGCGAACTTCACGAGTCTCGATGCAGGTCCTACTTTTAATCCACAATCCCGAAATTTTTGTTCAGTAAAGTCAAGGAAGTCACCACCATTAACCTCTTCATTTTCTAAATTTTTGATAGCAGTCTCGCTAAGCCCTAAGTTCTGCCCTTGCAAATATTCTATAAGCTTGGCTGTGTCATATTTTTTAATTTCGTCTGCCAACAAGACCGTCTCATTTCCAGCAACAGTAGTAGAGGTGGAAGCTGGAGTATAAGGTGTACTAGTTTCAGACATAACGTTACGTTTTTATAGGGATATTTGGCTCGGATAAAAAAAAATAGTGTTACGTTCCGGAGTGAGATAAAATTTTATGGGAAAAGAATACTGGGTATTAATATAGGTTTTTATGTAGTACAGATATTACGTCAATACACGTGACTAAACCCTCGTATCGATAAAATAATAATACTTTATTTATGAAATAAAAAATGTTGCCAGAAGCCGGCCTACAATACATAAAAATGCGAATATTTCGCTACATGATATGAATGAAAAACTAATAATTAGGTTTCTCTGATGTAGACAACTACCTTATTAAGGTCAGGAGTGACAGAGAAATATTCACTGATGTAAGAACTTGGATTCATGTGTTCCTTCACTTCTTTGGCAATATTGCCCCTATAGAGTTTGAAATTGGCGAAAGTAACATGCCCTCCGTTTCTAATCGTAGTTCTGAGTGTTCTGACTGTTGTTGTTTGAGGATTAATATTATGAAGTGTAAAATCGCCACTTCCATTTTCACTAATGCGGAACTTGAGACTGATATTGTTGTTGGCCATGTTTGCTTAAGAAAACCCACGCAGTTAATGAAAGTTCATAGTGAGATCGTAAACTAAAACTCGCTCGGTCCCAGAGGGACCCTCCCCGTACATACATAATTTAAGGCATATGCATACCTTATTTTCCGTTATTTTTTCTGGGAAAATTTTATACGGGAAAGTTGGCTGAACTTCCACATACCTCTACATGCTTTATATCTTGCGAGGAAAAAGATAAGGAGGTATGAGGCGTAATTAGCATTGTCGTATGATGCCAAGAGCTCTATGAAAGCACATGTAAACGGAATCCTCTTACCTTTTCACATGGAGATCTACCGGAAAGACATAGTTGGTCTTACGCCTGGCGATCTCGAAATTGTGACTCCCTCAGCCTTTCATAACATATGCTTTTGCCATCAATATCTACTTTTACGATAAGTTCTGTGTTGCAACTAGACCTTCTTTCACATTTTCCTTATGTTTGGTTGGGGGAAAATAGAGGTAGTAGTTAGCATGAATATATATATATGCGAAAATTAATATGCTTAACGGCTGTCGCACAGACCTATTATGTGATCAGCCTATTTCTTGTTGCACAATATGTGGCCTAGCAAAAAATCTTCCGAACTGACGACCACAGCTCCGGATCGATGATCAGTATTCTGGACTCGGCCATAGGCATCTTCGGTAAAATTTTCCACATTAAATATATTACTTTACTATTAGCAATCATGGTGAGTAACGATACTCTTACAAAAGAATCACTTGATCAATTATATGAAGTGTTTTTATATAAGAAGAAGGATATAATAGCTATTCAGAAAAAACTAGGCATCAATGCCAAAACAAATCAAGAGGCTGTGCGTCAAAGCAAGGAAGAGATAACACTTGCCGATTCATATGAGTTGTTGTTAGACTTGGTGGGAGATATGTTACCAATACAGGAGGAACTCAACATCAAAGGCAATCCCATTCTAGAGGTGGAACTTAGGAGTTATAAAGCTTCTTTGGATATATCATATGGGCAAATATATAATCTGCTTTTATATTTAGAAGAGGATATAATAGCAATTCAGGATAAACTCGACATTGTTGGTGATTCTAATCAAGAAAGGGCGGAAGAAGTTGATGAAAATATGAGAGCATGTCTCCAGAAGCTTGAGGAATTTCATGGTCCCTTAGAGGATGATCCAGGTGTGATATTACCGAAATATGGTGAAATAGGTGTAAAGAAAATTATGTTTACTGGAGACACAGGTCGAACAGATGTCATTGTCGCAAAATTTGCCTGGAATTTTTCTGGCAAATTGAGAATTATCCCTGTAAATTGGGGTAAATTGTGTTACAATTTTGGGATAATGGAGGTCTTACAATTTGGCAAATTTTGTCAAAATGGCGGAATTCCTACAGAATTCTTAATTCAAATGTTGAGAAATTTTTCAGTAAATTATCATTAATTGTGGGAAATTTTAGGTAAATTTTTAGTAATTTTATGTAAATTGTAGTGAATTTAGTCAAATTTTTAGTAATTTTATGTAAACGTAATGTGAATTTAGTCAAATTTTTAGTAATTTTATGTAAACGTAATGCAAATTGTGTAAATTTTAGGCAAATTTTAGTAATTTTATGTAAACGTAATGCAAATTGTAGTGAATTTAGTCAAATTT